GTTAAGCCGCGCCGGCCCTGACGGTGAGGGTTTTATTTGGGTGGAACGGAGGAATCAGCTTTGAATTTCAGAATTGTGGATTTGTTCTTTACCTTTGTAGCGTCTCCTCCTGAACCGCGTGACAGCTGTCGCCAGCCTTCAGAGCAGAGCTCTGCGCTGGGCTGCGTGTTTCAGATAAGAACAGGCTATCAGTAATCTTCCGGTGGTAATACTAATGCTCGAAGTGGCAGTAGTGGATAAAATAAATCTTAACAGGTAGATTGAAGAGGCAAACTGGCTCCTCCAGATTTAGCACTTCTAAAATCTGATGTGGCCTGTGAAGCTCGTGGCATTTTTGTATGTGAAAATTTCATGTGAAACTAGTCCAGCTGCACAGCTGTGACAGAGCTGAGTCTTATCCTCTGGGTAAAAGGGAAACTTCAGTGGAATGAGGTTGCTGCAGTTTTCCATTTAGCATATGGCAGGTGTTGTGAAGTTAGTAACTATTGAGTAAGGTGCAGGCATAGTAATTGCCTTGGTCACGTTAGGAATACCGAAGTTAATAAAAAAGTAAATGGTATAATAGGTATAAATTCAGTGAGTAACTGTGCAAGTGACAAGACAGTCTGGAAAAAAATCTTAGGCAGCAAGGATGAGGAGTGCTATGTTGAGACATTGCAGTTTGATTTGTTTGTTCTATAAATACAAACTAATTCTGTGTAATAACTGTTGATGCAGGTTTTTAATACTTAAGATACCTTCCTTTAGGTGTAATTTCAAGAAAACACTGATAGACATCTGGCATTTTAAGCTTTAAAAGTCTGGTAGTTTCTTTAGCTTTAGTAGTAGCTTTTGATGTGGTCATTGTATATGGGTTTTAGTTTTGTGGGTTTTTTAAAAGGCTTCTTGGTAAGGTTTAAAAGGGAAATTTCAGGATATAAATATATACAGCACAGAGATTTCTTGGTTATGATTGAGATTTTATTTCAAAAAATAATCTGTCTTGTAAACTGTATTAATAAGATCAGTAAATTTACTAGAATACAGCGCGGTATTTGGTAGTGTAACTAAATGAATAAAGTAAGCACAGGATGCACAGAAATCAGCAAATATGCTAAAGAATGCAGAGACTGGAAAGAGATCACTGAGCAGTGCTATTGCAAGTCACAGGCCAGTGCATTTTGTCACAAAGTACTTGTTACAGTAATACACAGTAAGACTAGAAATGTGTTGAAAATTGAGTAGCGAATCAGCTTCCTGAATGATTCCTGAAAGCTCTTTTTATGAGGTTCTCTATATTCAGAAAGCAGGTTGTTTGTGGAAGCTGTGTCAGGAAGGTAGCAGCAATTCTCCTCAGCGTATTTCTGTCCTTTTTTGGGAGATGGGACATTTAAGGGCAGGAAAACTTCTTTCTATTTCAGTTTTGTCAACGAAACTGTGTCATAAGTGTGACTGGGGAGGTGGTGCAGTGTAGCTAGGGCAGTTAGTTATATTAATATAGATGTGTCTATTAGCATAGCTTATTATCCCAAAATGGGCTCTAGTAACAGCAAGACTGTTGTGGTTGTGTGTAAGAGGAGGTGCCTGTGGTATGTCTTAGTCCTGGCCTTGATGACAGAGCTCTGAAGTAAGCAGTGGAGTCAGGAGGTTTTTTGGGACCATCATTTCTCTCAGGTGTACACTTTCAGGTGGTTTTTGGGTACCCCTCTTCTCGAAGTGCGTTTGCTTCATGGATCCTATAGTGTTCCTTTCCATTGCTTTGGGGTAGAACGAAGAACCGGTAACAGACTGTGCTGTCAATCTGCCTTAACACAAATCGCAGTCCTTCAGATTGTGAAGGAGTCTCAGCAGCAGCACGGTTTACGACATGGAGACTACCAGAGGTACAGGTTAGTAAACAGTGTGGATGTCTCGGAGTTACTAGTGTGACTTGATTTACTTAATTTAAAAAGTAAACCTACTGTAACAGGCAACAAAAATGGTCTGTCAAGTAAATACCCCTTGACAGGTTGCTTCATGTGAAGCATTGTACATTTTTTACCTCACTGCTAATAACTAAACTCTTCCAGAGTTGAGTGTTCAGTAAATATACATAAAGCAGTTAGACAGTAGGGAGAACATCATTCTGATTTTTCAAGATCAGGAATTATTATGTGTCATCTTCCTTTTTTGTATTCTATTAACCACTGGTTTACAGGTAGTTTCTGAACTACCTCTTACCATATGTCATATGTGGAATTTTTAGTTGTTAAAACATTGCCTGTCACAGCTTTTAGCCCTCTTTTTGTATTTAGAGAGAGCAGTAAACAGAAACAAAGCTGTTCATTAGCCAAACTGACTGTCTCTCTTTCTTTAGGGGTTATTGCTCCCGTAGGCTAAGGCGGCTCCGAAAAACTCTCAACTTCAAGATGGGAAACAGGCACAAGTTCACTGGAAAGAAAGTGACTGAAGAGATTCTCTCAGACAACAGGTACAATCACTGGATGGAATTGAGCATTCAGTATATTAGTGAATAGTTTCTTTCATTTCAGTAACTTATTTTCATCTAGGTGTGGTGGAAAACTGTTCTCTACGATATACTCAGAAATGTTTCTTTTCAGAGATGTGCATTGTTGATATTATTAAAAGGTGAAAGTTAAGGCTGCAGCACAGTGGGAAGAGGCATTGCTCAGATCCTGCTTCATCATGTGAACAAGTGGGAGAAGAGGGAGCAGCAACAGCTGATTTCTTCTCTTCCCTCATAGTTGCTAAAATAGTTTCTTTTTGTGATCAGTAAATTACTCTGATATTACAGAGTAAATGCTTATTTCGATCTGTTGGCAAGGTAGCCTCGTGAATGCTGGTAACGTAAATGGTGTAGCCAGCCAGGTTGTGGTTGAAAACAATTCCTTCCTTTGAACAGAAATACTGCATTGCAAGTTTTACTTTGATTTTCAAAATTCAGCAGAATGCTTGTCTGATCTTTTAGAAACACTTGAAATGTCTGTTGTCTCATGTTTTCTTGTGGGGAAAAGAAAACACAATGCTGTCTTCCACCTGTACTGTTAAGAAGCCAGATGCATTATGGCATGGCAGGGGGGTTGGACTGGATGATCTTTAAGGTCCCTTCCAGCCCAAACCATTCTATGATTCTGTGATTAGCTGGTGATGTAACAGATATGTACATTCATATTGAACCAGTTTGAAGAGCAATCTAAAATCATAAATACCTTGTTTTAGCAGTGTCTGTGGTGCTATAGCATGATACCAAATTGTTGTCCTCAATTGAGTAATTGCATTTTTGTAGGGAGAAACGTAGTAGAAAGCAGTTTGGAAAAAAACTATTTTGTGTGCTTAGAATGTTAGGAAATAAAAGCATCTACCTCTGATTAACCAAGCCGGACTTCAGTTACCAAACTTTGCAGGTCACATGGCAAAGAGCTAGTGGTGATGTGGTAATACTTGCTTGAATGCCATTATTTCTTCATTAATCTTCCTCTGCCCCGTAGGTATTTGCTGTTGATTCTGATGGATGCAGAGAGAGCCTGGAGTTATGCTATGCAGCTGAAACAGGAAGCAAACACAGAGCCTCGCAAACGCTTTCACTTGCTGTCTCGCCTGCGTAAAGCTGTGAAACATGCTGAGGAGCTGGAGCGACTGTGTGAGAGTAACCGAGTGGATGCCAAAACAAAGCTGGAAGCTCAGGTAACCACTGATACTTTGATCTTGTTTTACAGCAAAAGCTGAACAAGAAACCTTTGGATTTGGGGTGAAGAAATTATTATGTAGCAATACATAATCAAAATTGACTGATTCTTGAAGTGGATAATGTCTCACTTTGAATAGCTTGAACTTACTGATAATGCAACTGCTGACATTGCAGAAATAACTCGGCCAAGACAAGAACCTGGTGATTAGAAGTTGATTAAGTGTATCAAATGATTGTCCTTGCTTTGAAGAGGTTTAATAAAAGTAAAAAGAATTGAAAAAGTCTAAGATGGTGCAATATAGCCTAAGAAACTCTGCTTACCTGGTTGTTAGATGCCCTAAAGTAGCACAAGACTTGTGACTTCTGTTCCTGGAACACAGAAAGCAGCAGTTGTGTTATGACACCAGCCTCTTTGAGCAAGGGGCTGCAGTGGTACTCAGTTTATTGAAACTGCCATTTTGTAGATTATTGCTGGAAAAAAAAAAAGTTTTATGACATCCATGGGCCATGTTAATTGTATAACAAACAAGAAATGTGTTTGCTTTCGTGTCCTTAAAAATGTAGCAGTGTCAGTTAAAAGAAAAAAAGGTAGGTAGCTAGTAACCCGTAATCCAAATAATTTGTCTTCTGTAGGAAGTCGAGATGAAAAGGGCAAGGCTTATTCACTTACTGTAGGCATCACAGCAGCCTACATTCTAAAGATTGTACAAACCAGGCTGTTGGTCTTGGAGAAATTAACTTGCCTTTGTGCTCTCTGCAGGCATACATGGCTTACCTCACAGGGATGCTTCGTTTTGAACACCAGGAGTGGAAGGCAGCAATGGAGGCTTTCAACAAATGCAAGTGAGTCCCCCTGCTTCACCAGCTTCATTAAGTAAATAGTGTTGGATCAGTCTATGAGTTTGTATATCATATGTACAGTAACTCTGGGAGCTCTTTAGTTAATTATGCCCTTAACTGGGAGGTACTACTGAAGAAATAGCATCCTCCAGAGCAGAGAGACAAACTCTTCCCTTAAGATGGCATTTCAGAAAAAGACACATACTACAGTGTGAATGTGTGTTCTTTGCTGTAGGACCATATATGAAAAACTGGCCAATGCTTTCACAGAAGAACAAGCTGTGCTGTATAACCAGCGTGTGGAAGAGATCTCACCCAACATTCGCTACTGTGCCTATAATATTGGTAAGGAAAGAGGGAGTACCTAGTTCTTAACAAACAACAAGGCTTGTTCACGGGAAAGGAATATTGACTTGATAGGAAAAAAGTGGTCTAAGTGAAATTGCAGTGAATCCATACTATGTTGGACAAGTTCTGCACACATTCCGTGTCAGCCTGGCAATGGATAAATATACTAATTTTGCAACAGTGCATGTGTTTTTGTGTAGAAAGATGAAATGCCAGTTTGCATAGCTTGCTTGTGAAGTCATAATGAAATGGCAAATTTATCCCCTTTGTTGCCAGATTGCCAGTGTAAAATCTATTGATTAGCTTTCCTATATTAAAATAATGTGTGAACTCAGATGGAAATGTGATCTTTATTTGTTAATTCTCTCAGGTGACCAGTCTGCTATGAATGAGCTGATGCAGATGAGACTGAGGTCTGGTGGCACTGAAGGTCTTCTCGCAGAAAAACTGGAGGTAACTCATTTGCATGCTTCAGTTGAAACATTTATTATCACTTTGCTGAGCATAAATATTGCTGCAGCACACAATTCAAGAGCCGAAATATATCAGAAGAGAGCAAGCAAGCCTGGATTCTATGGGAAACCACACTTTCCTAAGAAGCCCTCTGATTTTTAAATAGTCAAATCTAATGTGAATTTGAAAGGTTCAGTTTTAGATACCTTAAAGTTCAAGCTCATAAATTTGGTCCATTTTCTACAGGCGCTGATTACCCAAACTCGAGCAAAGCAGGCAGCCACGATGAGTGAGGTGGAGTGGAGAGGAAGAACTGTTCCTGTGAAGATAGACAAAGTGAGGATCTTCTTGTTGGGGCTGGCCGACAACGAAGCAGCGATTGTTCAGGTAACCCAGAAGCCATCTCTGATGCTGGTGTT